ATGGCTATGGCGTAGGGACGTGTTGTGGCCCGGTTGTTCACACGAAGGGTACGTGTGCTAAGCGTGGACGCCAACTTGTAGGAATAGAGTCTGTCGAGGGCGCGTGCTCTCGCGCTGTCGAATCCGGAAAAAAGAGCAGAGTCGAGAGGCCCATGAGCAGTTACCCGGCCGAGGACATGGGCGAGGAGAACGATGCGAGTGCAGGATGCAGCAAATGGTTCGATGGGCGTCGAGAATTCTCTACCTCAGATTCGCGCTGAGGTCATTCCTGGTTGGTCGCTTGCGGTTGCGGGAGTCGTTGTCGTCGGCACCAAGGTGTGGTTGTAGACTGTCGCAAAGAAGATCGCAGGGGTGTGATTAGGGGAGAGTGCGCTAGCGAGGGGTGCTACCTGTATAAACCGATAAGATAACATGTCGAAGAAAGTGGCGGGGCCTTTTCATTTTTCGTTTGCGCCTGCGATTCCTTCATACTGAAATCTACACTCACCGTCGTGGTGTCTGCATTCACAGCCTACGTCCCTCAACTTGCAACGACAGCGCGAAAATTTGAACCAATCCTTCAATCACAGGATCGGACGTCGCATAATTTAATTCCAGACTCAGGCCTTCCACCCGCACAGGAACCTAAACTCAACATGGCCAAAAGTGCAAGGGCGAGTACGCGGAAGGCGAACAACCGGAGGCTGAAGCAGAATGTCTTCGGTCCTGTTGAGTCTGCTCGAACGGAGCGTCTGTCGGCGAAGCTGTTGGAATTGGCTGCTCAGCCCAAGCCTCAAAAGGAGCAGGACACGACCATGGACGTGGAGGACCTTGATGGTAAGTCTTTTGTCATCGGTGAATGACAAGATTATGAGCCGTGGAAGAATCAGAGTAATTGACCGAGTATTGCAACCTTCTAGCTGAGATTGCGAATGAGCCCGCCGCTGAAGCTTCTGAGCCCGTGGAAGACTCCAGTATGCCGCTCCCTTTTTGCGAGGCCATCATACTTTGAAGGCCCAATTTCCCATATACTGACTTCGCAACAGATACGATGGACATTGAGGGCGCCAAGCCAGCAAGCAAGCCGAAGAGCGCTGGCAAGGTTCAGAAGAAGCGGAAGACGTCTAGGATTGTGTTCCCCAAGTACAAAGATCGTAAGGGCAAGAAATGAGTCGCCAATTGTCTTATTTGACAAGGGGAGTACGGAGTTCTAGTCAACTATTGAATATATTGTCTTCAAGTTCTGTGATACTGTGGCTAGGCTGGTTTGCTTAAAACATCATGGCTTGCCTGAGACCTGCTTCGCATGACTTCACTTCGATTTCTACATTTACATTGAACATCATGGTAAGCTGAAAGAAACTATTCGTGTTCAGACCTGACGTTGGAAGGGCATCTCCTGTAACAGGTCAGTTCACTCCAGCACAGATGACCAGGCACCTTGTAAGCCTGCTAAGGTACCTATATTTCCACTGGCGTGCCCCTGAAAGACCCGCTGGCAAAGCATGGAGACCCCAAAGTACACCCAATCAGAGTTCTCCACATGATGTAAGCGTACCCCCGACGAGTCCCCCTTGCAGGTCTCGTACACCTGTAAGTCAGACACGGCGACCAACCCGCGTCTCGTCTTCTTCCACTACCTAGGCACCTTACTTCAGCTTGTTCAACGCGGGTCATGGATGAGACTGGCATGCCTGTTATTTCGTTCGTTCAAAGGCAGCCTTTACACTCTTCCGCCAGGCACTTCTGTCCGACTGAATTCTCCAGGGCTCGTTCGTGAATTTCGCTCCCTGAGTGGCCCATCTTTACAGGCTTGCTTTCGTCTCACGCCTGTGGTATTGTACACCCTGATGGGCTCACCTCACGATGGGTTACAACAACACATCTCGTCTCGAGACGTTGTTTCTCGTGATAGCGAACTTGTTGATACCGGTGTCTATCATAGTATTCGCCACGGGATTTTTTCCGTACAAACCGTTCCTTTCTGGCCTGGCTCAGTATGAGGCGCTCGACTATGGCAGCCCTCCAGCAGCACCATTTGACCGCCTGGTCTTCATGGTCGTGGACGCTCTCCGAAGGTACCTTCCATCATGAGCACATACCTTTGAGTCCTCATCGCGCCGCTAATGCTCAGTCATTAGCGATTTCGTGTACACAGGAGACAGTGGATTTGAATTCACCCAAGAGTATGCCTGATTGTTCCCTTTCCGCCGATGCCTTGACGGCCGCAGTCATTGACATGACTGTCTAGTCTGATCCGCCGAGGACATGCATTGCCTTTCACTGCCAATGCTCGGTCTCCTACCATTACCATGCCGCGTATCAAGGCCATAACGACCGGCTCAATCCCATCTTTCCTCGACGTCATCCTCAATTTTGATGAAGGCGACACTTCATCCACCCTCGCAGCCCAGGACACATGGCTTGCCCAGATGAAAGCTAAGAAGTCCGGCAAGATGGTCATGTATGGCGATGATACATGGCTCAAGTTGTTTCCTGACACCTTTGATCGTGCCGATGGCACGTCTAGTTTCTTCGTCTCGGTAGGTTCATCACTGCGAAGTAGCCCGTTGGTCTGTAATCGTAGTGAGTCTGACGCTGACGGGAGGTAGGACTTCACCGAGGTTGATAACAACGTCACGAGGCACGTCCCAGACGAACTGCGTAATAAGGACTGGAGCACCATGTGCTTCACTATCTGGGCCTCGACCATATCGGCCACAAAGCTGGCCCTCCAGGTTTGTCGCATCCTCTGT